AGGTGGAGGAGATGAGAGATCAGGAGTGACTATCAAACAACAGTAAGGGATGGAGCTGTATTAGACTTGACCATGTGTCAAGGTTTGTCCATGGGGAGTGGAGGAGTTTATGTCCTTCGTAATTGCTCTGTGCAGAAATTGATGGGAGAGGGGATGATAGGGATGGTGTGTATTAATAGGTTTAAAAAGGTCTTACTGGGAAAAAAACCCCACATGCCTGTGAAATGCAAATGTAACCTCAGCACAACAATACTGATCTTGATGGCCTTCTGGGCCTCTTTCCATCTGCTGCATTTCTGCCTCCTAAACTGGTCTCCCAAGTGCACAATAAAAAAAAAGAAACAAAAACCCCCCCCAAAAACCTTCTCCTTCTCCAAAACTAGTCCAGACATGGCTAAGTGAAAACCTTGCTGTTCGCATTAGGATTCCTCAGTGTACTATGGAACAAGAAGAATATTTTTTTCCGGAGGGGCTCCTTGCTTGCATTGTCTAAATGCTTCTCCCCAGATAACCTCCTGACTGCTGGTTTTATTACAGTTTTATTAATAGGACTCATTTCAGACTTAGTTATGTCTGACTTATCAGGCACAGAGTTATGTGCTTGACTGAGATACTATGGGCTTATAAAAAAAATTCCCTGAGATATGAAGCTGTGAATGACGCTAACAGCACCAAGGGGTGCGTGCATCTCTCCTGGTATCCCTGGAACAAAACCAGCTTAATGACATTGTTTAGGCAAAGAGGACAGTAAAATTAGGGCTACAGCTGATGCCACTGGTGACCAGGTGATCCCCTAAAGTCAAGATTACTAAAACAGCAGGAAAGCTGGCATAACACTTCCCATTTTTTATGGAAAGATTTTAATTCATACGTCTGGTGTCTTCAGAGAACACGAAGCACAGTCCACATATCAGGGCAGGAGACAAGTGGAAAGAGATTAGCAGTCAGCAGCTCTGTCTCTCATATGGATTTGTACCAAATACCACCACTGTGAGCCTTGGTGCTGCGGATGCTTGGCACTCAGAAATGTCCTTGCTTTAAAACCTCGGTTGCCAACAGAAAAAAATGCCAGGGAAATTAAATTCTTCTGAAGTGCCAGTATATTTAACCCACCCAACCAACCAGCCCCCCAAGGGAAATCATCCTAGTCTTCTTCCAAGGAACCAGAGAATTTAAGGCCATATCTGGGAAAGCAAATTCATGTTAAACCTATGAGTAGGTTTTGCAGCCTCCAGCTTTGGGCAATGAGGGCTGCTCTGCTGACCGAGCTCAGTGAAGTGTGGGGTGATGCTGGTGCGCAGCGGCGTAAGCACCTGCAGGCAGGAGTGGGTCTGGGCATCAAAGATACTGCTGGGGGCTAGCACTACCTTGGACGCCCGTTGCATTAGAGTAGCAGATGCAGGGCTGCCCCAGAGCATGCATATGGCTCACCCTTTGTGGCTGCAATGCACTGGGACTCGTTTGCCCACTGCTTGGCTTGGCGTGACCCCATATATTACAGCCTGTCCTCTGGATCCCTCCTGCCTGGGGTCGCTGGGGCAGTCCTCATGGAGAGCTCCACCCTTGCTTTTGGTACAAGGAGATGCCTTTGGTTTTGTGTGCTCCACACCATTCTGAGGGAGAGGGGAGGGAAAACAAAACCCCAGAGTCCTTCAGTCTAAACATAGCCCAGAGTTCGTTCCATCCATTTGCAATGATACCTTGTGGCCGGGTAAATGATGACTCGCC